AAATGGGTGGATTGTGGGAGACCCTGGGTCCAGTCCACCTGCTTCAACCACTCATTATTTATCCATAGTGGAACAGCTTCAACAGGAGAGACCAAAGGAGCTGCACATCAGAACATCCCATAGTCCAGTGATTAGAGAGGTGGGAAACCCCTGTTCAAATCCTTTCTGCCAGAGGGGAAGAGAGGGGGAAGTTGAACCTAGGTGTCCCTAACCCCAGATGAGTGCTTTAATCACTTGAAGGTTACACCTCCTCCTCCTCCAGCCAAATTTTGAATGGGACCTGATCTGGTAGACACACTCAGAAGTGATCCATGAAACAACTTAGGTGCCTGATTCCAGAGTCAGTCCTAAGTCCCCATGAGCTGCTCCACTGCGATCCTTGAAACTCCTGCTTGACTGCCACTAACCCTATAGGTGCCTAAACTCACTCGGCACCTAACTTTCTGCTGTAAAAGTTTCCGAGGTGTCTAAGTTTTAGACCTTCGGGCACATGCACTGCTGCCCAACTCTAGGCATCTGGGACTTAGGCATCCAGAACGATTCACAAACTGGGCAAGATAGGTGTTTTGCCATCTGAGTCACATGTAGGGCCTGATCTGATACAGTAGACTTGCTCAGAAGCTGTGTATCAGAGCCAGAGAAGGAGGAGGTGCTCGCTCTTTGAGATTTGTGTTCCCTAGCCTCTGCAATTTTTCCAAACTATTCATATTGAGCATCTATCTGCTCATAAACGAGTCCCTCCAGTCCTTCATTGTTGCTCTTCTTCTACTGATTGAAATTGGTTGGTTTTCTTAAAGATATTCTCTCAAAATTTATTTTGCAGAAGTTCTAGGACAACTGTCTTCTGGCCCTCGAATCTATGATGCCCAGAAATAAAAGCTACACTTCAAGCATGTTCCTGCAGTGATCATCATTGGAGGGACTATTACCTGCTTGCGAGATGTGTCTATGTATGCGGTACAAAACTGCACTGACAACCTACTGCATTGCAAGCTTCTCTCTAGTTTAGATCTTTAATTTCCAACTTTCTCCCTCCCATATATGTTGTATTACATTCTACACCGTCCATCATATTAGTTTGTAGTTTTACCTGCTAAATCTCTCTAGGATCCATTTTATTCTCTCTCCATTTTCAATGGCATCCATACATCACTAAATTTAGTGATCACTGCTGCTACCTACCAAATACCTGTCCTTCCCCAAAACAATTTATTAGTCTTTCAAACTAAGAACTTGATCCTGCAAAATACTAGGTGTCTACAAATACCACTGATGGCAGGGGAAGTGGAGAACACTTCACATATCTCATGATTAAGCTCTAAATAAATTCCAAGAAGTAGTAAGTATGTCATTGTCTTGTGTTGCATTTGAACAATGGTTCAATAATTGCCAGGGATATTTAACATTAAATGGTATGTTTTTAAGATAAGCTCTACTCAGGTTAGATCTGTTAAAAGTTATACAATGGCAGAATAATTGTATTTCAGGAATCTAATACAATCTGACAAATGACAAATCAAGTGTACTGTACCATATTTACTTGGCTAAAAGTATTGCCTAGGAAAATATTTAAAACCAAGTTACTCGGTAATGTTCAATTATTTTCAACATACATATTAAAAAGAATGAGGAGTACTTGTGGTACCTTAGAGACTAAAATTTATTTGGGCATAAACTTTCGTGGGCTAAAACCCACTTCATCAGATGCAAAGCTCTCTTAAAAGCTGTAGCTTTCAGGTGATGAATGTCAGAAGATATTGTTCAGTATACTGTATCTTGATGGCAGGTCAAACAGTAAGAAACACACTAGTTTTAGGTTCGTTATCTCAGATATTGAATTATGTGAAATAGTTTTTACTAACTATTGAAAACTCATCCACAGACTGCTAACATAGCAACCTTTGCTACCAGTTGGCCAGATCCTACATCTATTGAGTCAATAGGAAAACTCCCATTGACTTCACTAGGAAACAGAAGCACCATCTTTCTAAGTTGCCAGGGAGTACTCGACCCCTGCTCTGCCCCAGACCTCACCCTCACTCCACCTCTTCCCCCAAGGCCCACCCACGCTGTGCCTCTTCCTGGCCTCCATCTTCCCTCCCCTGTTCCTCCACCTCCCCGCCAGTGCCTCCTGCACATTGCTGAACAGCTGATCCGCAGCAGGCAGGAGGCGCTGGGGGAAAGAGGGAAGAGCTGATCAGGGGGGCAGGGGCTGCTGGTGGGTGCTGAGTACCCACTATGCGCACCAGCTATTTTTTTCCCATGGGGAGCACCTTGGGAGTCGATGCCTATGCTAGTAGCAGGTTCAATATGCAGAATGTACTACATGCACTGCAAAACAGCAGTATATTTGCTTCTCCAGCTACTGCACAACAAACTGTACATTTCTGGGGACCAGAAGAAGTTACTCCAATCCTCTCAAAGTTATTTCCTGTTCAAATCCAACAAGAAGCTAGAGAGTCATCTCTTTTAAAACATTAAGCAAAACTAAGAGTAGCCATACCAGACTGTAAAAACCTATCATTTATATATTTATAAACAATATGAAGTCACCAACAAAATCAGATTGGCACAAAAACTTTGACAATACAGCTTCCTTGGAGTGAAGTCAAAAGTCACTATAAATGTTGAAGTTTTTGTTAAAATTTGGTCTCTTTTCCATATGTCAGGACTACAGAAAATTTTAATGTGGAAGTTGACTTGATCCTGTGAGCATTAGGCATCTGAATATTTCCATTGATTTCATTTAGATTAGTTGAGTTAATAAACTGCTGGAGTGAGTAAGCATATGCAGGATTGAACCCTTAAATAGCATAAAAATACAAGATAAGATTAGAAAGCAAGATAAGAACTGGTAAAATATCTGTTCTTTATAATGGTTAGGATGTGAACAAATTGAGTATTGTAATTCACACAGTGGATATTACTTTTCATATAGCCATACAACAATTTGATTCCATTTTTAAACACTTAAAATTAACTAAGTACTGAGGTAAATTCTTTGTGTTTTTTTTAAAACACTGTCCCAATTATATTGAAAGCAAGCATACCACCTTTAGGTAAGACATATATTGAAACTTCAACTGGACAATAAAGTCAATATGTCCAACTCTAGATAAATTATTTTCCTCTAATGCATGTTATTTCTTGTTCAGTTTAGCAAGTTCATTTATAATCATCTAATGCAGGGGTTCTCAAACTTCATTGCACCGATTACTACACAACCCCTGGGGAGAGGATCAAAGCCTGAGCCTGCCTCAGCCCTGCCGCCCCGGACTTGGGGGAAGGGTGAGGGGGCAAAGCCAAAGCCTGGGTGGGAGGGCAGGGGGCCTATAACCTTAGCCCCACCACCCAAGGCTGAAGCCCTTGGGATTTGACCCCGGGTGGTGGGTCTCAGGCTTCGGCCCCGGACCCCAGCAAGTCTAGCACCAGCCCTGGTGACCAAATTAAAACAGGGTCACAACCCACTTGGGAATCCCGACCCACAGTTTGAGAGTCGCTGATCTAACAAATTGTCCTAGAGAATGTAAAGGCTCATATTAATATTTGCTTCATATAAAATTTGTCATCAAATATTTGTTCTCTCGTACCCACACTATAACTACAACCCACATCCTCTAACTATACCACGTCAGATATATCACTGTGTGAAACCAGATCTCTTCCCCCCTGTGCAATTCAAAAGGAGCAAGCCCAAAGTGAAGAAATAGCTAAGTGAGAGCTAGATACTGCCTGCATAGTGTATAAGCCATTTTAATTTGCTTGCTGAGAATCCTAAATTGAAATGTCAGAACTACCATTTGCAATTAGGTTTAATGCCAATTTACTGTCTCCAAAATGTGTTACTTTACAACATCTCTTCTCTTAATTAATAATACTTAGTTTTATATGCGACTTATATATGTTCATTTCAATGTACTGTATTTCAGATTAATAGCTTTTTATTGATGAATACAGTATTTTAAATGTCCTATATTTTAAGTGGTAGAGAATGATACAAAAAGCCGTATGGATTATTTCTAAAGTCTATTAAAATAATTCATATCGTGCAAGTTATTTTTTACAACACACACATGGCACAAAACTGAATATGCTCTACTTTGTGGAGGTATTTTTAAAATGGGTAAGAAAATTTGTTTTCATAATAATGCCTTTCATGTGCAAGGTAGCTAATAAGCACCTCAGAACAAAGTCACTAGGGACAAGAACCACTGAACTATTCTCTTGAGAATGTCAAAAATATGGTTAATTGACTACAATACAAATAATTTAAAAATCACAGATTCACACTTACAGGATATTCTGTAAGAGTTCATCAAATTAATTTATATATATTTTGTGTGTGTATGTGTGTATTCACACATGACCTTGCATATGGTTTTTTACATATTGGCAAATAGATTAACTCTTGGCTACAGAAGTTTTACATTGATCTAATTACTATTCAAGGTCTAGTATTTAAAATAGCTAAACTGCTTGCTGAATACTGAAGCTCAAAGCCCTGTAGGGTTACTATGAGGCGTAGCCACATTTTTCTCCAGTAAAATAAAAGGCAGTTTAAAAACCCTACAGAAATTCTGCTACCGCAGCTGAATCACCATTCTTTTACAATTTAGTGAATTCCCAGACATTTCTTCAAACCCCGTTTTAATTCTGTTACAATAAACACACATCTCTCATTTCTGTGCTCACAAATATGAGTTTGAATAATATAGTCTTAATTTAAATCTAATAAATTTACTATTGCTTTGTGTACATTATAAATTGCATCTGCTTATCAGTATTTGTAAGCCTGCTTATCTAAAGACAAAAGGTCCCTTTATGAAATCTACCTACACATCTTTGGCTGACAGCTAAAACAAACAGCATCAGTGTTTGCAATAGGCAACCTCCCCAGCATCTTTACATTCAATTAGTTTAAAAACCCAGAACACTAGAGTACCAAAAATACCCACAAAGGAAACACCTAAGTGGCTTATTTAGAAAATTAAATACATTACCAGACGCATCCTGGAGTTTCTGAATCACCTGCAGGGAAATCAGACTAAGAATCTGACACTGGAACAGTATTCCTTAGTATTACAGAGCCTGATCTGACTCTTACAGAATATCAGGCAAGTCTGAGGCTGTAAACCTTTGAGTTGAGTTCATTATAGGCATCAGAAAGCCACAAAGAAAAAGAAAGAAAAAAAAACAAAAGAAAAAAGAAATGCAGCCCACAGACAGCCAGATGAGAAACTTCTGGCACCTCTCCAGCTCAGGAATTAATTCACTGTAATTTGGAGATGTATAGTTTTGGAAATGAAAGGAAACTTGAATTTACGGATGAATTTGTTCCTGCCTTAGTGGCTCTGCAGAAACATGCATGTTACATCTCAGCTCGTTTTTAAAATGTTCATCCAGGAACAATACTGAATCAAAAGTTAATGGGGGGTGGGGAAAAAGAGGGGGGAGCAGCATGTGCACACATACACACCCCTTCCCAAGATGCCAATACAAACTTCAAATGGATCATTCCTTCAGCTATTTGCTGTGAATTTTATTAATCCCAACACAGAGGTAGGGTTGCCAATTCTGGTTGGATGTATTCCTGGAGGCTTCATCATGTGACATAATATTTAATTAAACAGTAATCTTTAATTTCTGGAGACTCCAGGACAATCCTGGAGGGTTGGCAACCCTACACATTTAATTCCTTTATTGTATCGAAGTGGATTCATGGCTTTTTACAATGCACTTTGGACAAAGAGATTTTTGTTTTTTGTTGCTTGTGCAATACCAGGCAGCTAAAATACATCATTAAAGAGAGATCATTCACAACTTTTCAAGCAACTGGAAAAAATGTCAGCATAATTATTTGTTCAAGTATTTGTGTTTTCAGGAAATAGTATCAAAAAGATTCAAATCAACAGTTCAAGTGCTAAAGAAGATATCTAGCAACAAATGTTGTGTATATAGGTGGAAGGGTCTGTAAAGGCACAAATAACTTCAGTCATTATAAAAACTGCCTCTGCCAATGCAGTCTTTCAAATGCAGTTTGAGCTCTTGATTTTGTTAGCAAAAAGGATAATTTCAATAGTTTGCATTGAGCATTTGCTTCAGATTGTCTAAGGAACACTCTGGTGAATTTTGATATTTCCCACTCATGTAAGCAAAGTGCATGTTAGCATGCAAAACATTTTTAAGTACACACTTCAAAACATTATGGTAGATAAGGAACAATAGAATAAGAGGTTTCAGAGTAGCAGCCATGTTAGTCTGTAGCCGCAAAAAGAAAAGGAGTACTTGTGGCACCTTACAGACTAACCAATTTATTTGAGCATAAGCTTTCGTGTAGCTCACGAAAGCTTATGCTCAAATAAATTGGTTAGTCTGTAAGGTGCCACAAGTACTCCTTTTCTTTTTAATAGAAAAAGAGTTCAAGAAAGAATGGTCATGGTAAATTGCATTTCTTGTGTTAGTTTTACACCTGCATGCACTAATAATTTAGTAACACAAATCTGTTTTAGTTTTAGTAAAAGTCTTGTTTTAATGGTAACTATTACTAAGAAAATAATAATGGCCCTCACCGTTAGATATATGTTAGTTATGTTAAATTTAACTCAAATCTACAGGGACCAAAGATGTTAATAATGAGTCTACCCAGCCTAAAAAACTGGAGGGATTCTTGAGTCTGTCGTCTTCTTAACAAATCAGTTCTTTGAAAAAATAGTATTAGAAACCCTATTACTAAAACAGGGAAATGCAAAAATCCTTATATTAAAGGGTGCCTAGCGAGGATGGAGAGTCATATAGAGTGTCCCAAAAAGCCAGACGGTCAGCTATTCACCAACCAGTTTTGGACATGCAAAGCAGAAATATTTAATATTTAGTGAAGCCTCAAAGTTTGGATCTGGAATCAGTCCTCTAAGTTCTGCGGCTTCTGGGTTCTGGAGTTATGGCTCAGATCCCTCTTTTAAAAAATAAATATGACATTAAATTATGGAGTAATTGGAAGGAACCAATTGTGATCAGTTGGGCAGATGACAATTGCAACTATATGCCCTGCCCTTACATTTCAGAAATAATTATGTAGCAAGCACCATGCTCTTAAAGCTTATGATCAGAGATGACTGCAAAAGTTCTCATTTAAACCTGTAAACAATCCATTCTCACCTACAGAAGGCAGTGCCTGTGTTCTATTCACTACCAATTCATATATAGTATTATAGTGATCACTGGTCTCACCCACTCTAATTAAGGTACCATCAGAACTTTCATTACATCTTCCTGTGTTTACTTGCTCATCTGGCCACTAAGTCCTACCTCTCTAGCTCTCATGGTTGTGAAGAAACCTGCAACCCGTGGACTAAGCGTAGCTAATGTGTTTATGTCTGCCCAAGTTTTCAGAGAGCCTGAAACAACAGCTTTGAGATGTGTGATCTGCTCCTTTAATCTCAATGAATTTTTAACTCAGATAGCCACTGATCATAATGTAAATATTAACTATTTCACTGCCGATCCAAACCAATAAGAAAGGAGAGGGACAATTATACTAAGATCAGCAATATCTTATTGTCACACCACAAGTAGAAGGTGTTTAGAAAAATAGCATCTCTCTCTCCAATCCAGATGAAGCCAAGCTTTTGAGGAACCCAGCAGATCCCATGGTGTAACCACACCCCACTGAGATTAAGCCATATCCAAGGAACTTAACAGAGCACCTGTGATCATATTTTTAACATATACACAGCCCACTCTGAATGGTCTCTCATTCTGGCAACATTATGCAGCTTGGAAGACCACTGATATTTATCCCCAGTTTTGTCCCTTTAGCTCTGCCAAATTTTAAGGATCGGGGGAAAATGCATGATGGGGGAAAGTTTCTCTAAGACAAACAATAAAACAAGGAACCCTAAGAAATATACCTTGTGTATATAATTCTTTAGTACATTTCTCTCAAACAGCTGGTGACTCACTACAATAATAAAGTTATTTTTCAAAAGTGTCTAGTTGGGTCAGATTCTGGAGCAATGAAGCTGCATCAGAGCAAGCTTCAGTGTTGGCTAGCCCCAGGAGTAATTACCCAGGGTTCCAGATTCACTTGTATAGCCCTCATTGCTGCCATGGCTTCTCTGCTCTGGGATCTGAACTAGCTAGATTAAAACTAGCTTGGGTATGTTGGCTCAAAGCTGCAATCACACTCATTGACTGCAGTCTAGACATGCCCTTAGTGACTTGGGCTGACATAGGACCAGCTAACATTTACAGAAGAGCAAACACAATATCTCAAACTTACCTATCACTGTTTCCATTATATGCATCCTTCCGTTGTCTTTCTTTACAATGGGAAATATTTTATTTAATGGCACAAGAACCATATCCTCCCTTAGAGTCCTTAAGGGAATTTAGGTGCATTAAAGTTAGTGCTATGCAGACCTGTTTAGGACCAGGTAAACTATGAGACCATTATATCCACTATCAACTATTCACCCTAAAGTTTAAATTATTTAGACAAAATGAAAACAAGGAAGTGCCACTAAATTAGTTAATGCTAGCATCATGCAAGCAGTATCTTTTATATGTAAGGAGGTTTAAAACAATTCATTTTTCTAAATGGGACTTCAGAGGTATCATTCCCAAAGACAGCTGTTTGGGTTTTGTTTGTTCGTTCTTTGCCTGTGTCATCCCAGCTGTACTTAGAGATTACAGCATTCAAGGTTAAGAATTAGTTTTGACTCAGAAAATTGACCTCTTTGAATTTTGTAGATATATCGTGACTTTCAACAACACCATACTTTTTGATAGCTGAATCTCTCCCATCTCAGTTGTAATGTTTACATTTGTAGAACAAGAAAAGTTGGAAAATGAATACTAGAAGTAGCATTAATGTAACATTATTTTGAATTTAAATACTCAAATGTCACAGCGACAAGATTGATCACCTTAACACTGCCCCAGTCCATATATGATCACTTACTATTACATGATCACATATTACTCAAATGCAAAATATCTTTCTTAGACCTCTAAATAAGTGTGTAACATTGCAAATTTTGTCATTCTTGTGCTGAACCATTGTGACAATGAAATAGACTGTCTACACAAACAGATTTATAAAGGTAAGCTTTAATATATTTTATTCTTCAGTTCTGACACCACATACACACAATAAAATAGGATTTTTTCCTTTTTGTACGATGCCTTTGAACAGTAGCTATTATTGTAGTGAGTCTCCAGCTATTCCAAAGAAATACACTAAGAATTATATAAACAAGATATATTTCTTAAGATTTCATGTTTTAGTATTTGTCTTAGAGGAACTCCCCCCCACACACACCCCTCCAACCGCATCATGCCTTTTTGGCCCTGGTCCTTTACACTTGGCTGAGCCAAAGAGACAATTTGGCGATAAAAGAAAAGCAGAGGTAGTCTTCCATGCTCCTACAAACCAAGTTCTGCCTAAATGTGGCCAGAATGAGATACTACTCAGAATGGGTTATGCAAATGTTCAAAATATCACAGGCACTCTGTTCAGCTCCTTGGACCTGGCTTCTGCTCAGTGGAGTTTGGATACATCATGGGTAATCATGGGTTCATCAAAAACTTGGCTTTTTCTTGACTGGATAGAAAATGGGTGATGATAGCATTTCTAAGCACCACCCAGAAAGTGCACCTTCAAGGATGCATTGTGTGCCAAAATTCTTGCAGTGCAGGGGATGTGGACATGGAGATGTAATGCAGTGAAGCAGGGATGGACATGTGGAAAGACTAAAGCTAGCTAGGGTATGTCCATGCTGTAATCTAGCTAAGTATGTTGGCTGAGGCAGCCGTCAGACCCAATGATTGCAACCTAGACATTACTGTCCATTCCTCAGAGTCCCTCCACCTTCTGTTTCTGAAATGCCATCCTGAGTCTCCCCAAACATCTACTCCACCGCAAAAACCATTCACCAACATGTAGGAGCAGCTCATCCAATAGATCCATGGCTTTCCCCGGGTTAGAATGGACAGAAATTAGAAGGATCCAGAGTAGGAAGTACTGGAAGGCTAAAACCATTTCCAAAAATGGGCCCACGGAGAGCAAACAAGTTCCCCCACAATACACTAGGAAACAATTCCTAGACTGGTTCCAGTCCAAGAATTCTGAGATATGCCCCTAGAAATCCTAGCACCAG